CTGACTGAGCTATCCAGGCACCCCTGAGTTCCTTGCCTTTGCTTTCTTTACCATCAGTGCATATACATCATAGTTTCATGTTTGTACTTGGGAAGTTTCTTATTGATTTGCCTTCACAACATCAAAGAATGTTATCATATGATGCATCACGATTTAACAATCTCTTTGATGGATCCATAGATATTTCCAATTTTTACATTCTGAACAGTGTTCGATGTATTACTTGGCACATGGTACCTTACAGATGTAGTTAAGATATATATCTATTGGACACACTTCAGAGGCGGGGATTTCTGGGTCAAAAAAAGTACACATATTTGAAATTTAAAGATACTGCAAAATTGTTTCCTAGAGGTTACAGCGTTTTTTGAGGTGGGTACAAATGCCTTTCTTCAAAAAACTTTCTGCAGTTGTCAATCTTTCAGGAAACCTTGTAAACTTTTAAAATTTTCCAATTTAAGAGGTGTAAAACTGGAAGCTCACCATAGTTTCAACGTATATTTTATTAGAGGGTTGGAGCATATTTTTATGTGTTCAAGAGAGTATTTGTATTTATTTGGGGACTATTTTGCATTAATATTCCCTTTTGTTTATTTTTTTCAATTAATTTTGTTGAAGGCCCTTTTTTATTTTAATTTCTAGGGTAGATATACATACATAAACCTATATATATATATATATATATACACACACACACACACACACACACACACACACAAGATATATAATATTGATGAACTCATGCATGGTTGCTTTTTAGACCTTTTTTCTGATATGAACTGCAGACTTTCCCCAAGTATATAAGAATAATTAATTTTTCTTTTGATTTGGTATTGATACATTTTTTTCTTCTCAAGGAAAAACTGTACTGGTTTAAAAGTTTATCGATTTCTTTTAAAATGGTTTTGGGGTGCTTTGCTGCTCAGTCAGTTAAGTGTTAGACTTAATTTCATTAACTCATTATTATCTCATTCCTCCTATGAGTGTAATTCTATGCCGGGCTTGAGAGTCTGCTAGGATTCTGTCTCCTCTGCCCCTCCCCTGCATGTGCACTCTCTCTCTCTTTATTTCAAATGAATAAGTGAAAAATAAAATAAAATAAAAATAAAAATAAAATAAAATAAAATAATTTCTAGATTTTAGGTTCATTTAAAAGCCCTTTCAATACATGATTTTAAACCAGTTTGCCTAGATTTCTTCTCTCTTACTGTTTGTATCAAGCCATATTTTTGATGTTTAAAGCTTTGATCCATTTGAGTCATTAATATATGCCAATATACAGCATGAGGTAAGTTTATTTAGGCAATGCTTTTCCAAATGATCTGAACCTGTTACCCCAAAAAACCATCTTTCAGTTTAAATTTGAGAGTTGCACTGTAATAAATTTTCATATATGTGTCTTATATATATCGTAATATATATACTTCTACCAAGCTATTGAGCTTTTGCCTGTATGTTCATATACATATTTCACAGTGACATTTATCAAGATTCTTCATAATGTGTTTTAATAGCCAATATGGGTGTGTCCTTGCCTTCTTGGCTTTAAAATTCTTTTTCCTGATAATAATTATATTTTCATGATTAAAGTTTTAAGTTACATTCTTTTATTTTATTTTTTAAAAGTATACTTAGGGCGCTTCGGTGGCTTAGCTGTCAAGCTAAGTGTTGTTATCCCACCTCCTCAGCCAGGTCACCATCTCGCTGGCCTGGAGTTCGAGCTGCCGCTGCCAGGCCAGGGCTCTGGGCTGATGGCTCTGGAGAGCCTGGAGCCTGTTTCCGATTCTTGTGTCTCCTCTGTCTCTGCTCCCCTGCTCATGCTCTGTCTCTGTCTGTCCCATCAAATAAAAACGCTGAAAAAAATTAAAAAAATAAAATAAAATAAAAAAGTAACACTTATTTTGAAAGACAGGAGGATAGAGAGAGAGAGAGAGAGAGAGAGAGAAAGAGAGAGAATGAGAGGGGGGGAGGGGGTGAGACACATGGGGCAGAGGGGTTCAGTGCCTCCCTTGTGCTGGAGAGCACAGAGCCCCACGCCAAGTACTCAAACCTGTGAACTGTGAGATCATGACCTGAGCCAAAAGTGTTGATGCTTGATTCAAGCCACCCAGGCATCCCTAAAATTTAGGGGCATATATTTTTATTCAGTGCTGGGGTTGGGGGGAGAGGGGAAAGTAAGGATGGGCATTGAGGAGTGGGCACTTGGTGGGATGGAGTACCAGGTGTTGTATGGAAGCCAATTTTGACAATTAGGCATAAAATGCAAAACAAAAAATAAAAAAAAAAATCAGTGCTGAAGTTTCTAACTTACTTTGAAGACACTTTTTTTTTCTTTTTAATGTTGAGTCTCCCTGACAAGCATTGAGTTCTTATAGGGATGCAAACTTCTCCTCCCTCCCTCTCAGGGTCTCAGAACGTCTGAGATAGGGGATATAAAAACAGATTAACAGAGAAAAGTTACATACACATTTTATTTTTAGACATGGGAGCCAGGAAAACTGAAGACCCCAAGAAGTGATTAGGGCCTAAGTGTTTATATGCCAGGTTGAATAAAAAAGTAACAATAATTGTAGAAAAAAGTAACAAAATACATGGAGGCTAGAAGATATTAAGGGTTATTTCCAAGAAGGTCTGTCTGTATAGATTTCTCTTGGCTTCAACTCCTCATCTCTGTGAAAAGACTTCCTCATGGGTATAGGAGAGCATCTTCTACATGAAGAGTTTTTATCTTCCTGCTTTCTCAGAAAGAAAGAAGTCCAAGTGTCTCCTTCCTATGTGTCTGACATTTCATGCCTAGCTCAAAAAAAATAATGTCTTATAGTAATTTACTTTGTTGTCCCGAACAGCTCAATTTAGTTCAACATTTTGAAAGGTGAAGCTGCTATTTAAAATGATTATTAATTTGTAATAATTTACTTGATATGCATTTCAGTAGCTATTTTGTTTTGTGTTGTGTTCCTTTGTCGTAGGTTCTCCCACTGAGTAATGCACGGTTGATTCCTTTGCTTGCTATCCGCGGCAAGCTTAACGCTTTTCCTCTGTCGTTGTTGCTCCTCTTCATTTTCTGCCATGTATCCTTATTTATCCCCTTATGGCTCCCAAAAAACAGAAAGTGAGTATGATTCACAACGCCAGTGTCATGTGAACACTAAAAAGTGTTCCTATTGGGATAGCTGGAAACCACACTTTTCACTTGGTTTCCCTGAGTAGTTTGGAAAATGTACATTTTTAAGAAGTTTCAAAATGAAGAAATGCTTACATCTCATGTGTCTCTTTTTTATCTTATTAAAAGATTAGTTTTTCTTAAGTCATTATTAAATAAATCCAACTAGATTATTACGACATATTATTAAATAAAGCCAACTGGAGGTCCCATTTGCATTAATCTTCAATCTCAGAGTGTGTACATTTATTCCTTGGGTGATGATAGCACAATTTTAAGACATACTGTCAGTGCCTTTTTCTTTCTGTTACCATAATATACAGAGTAAGGTAAGACAAACTGAAGAAAAGCTTAGAACTTCTGTCAAGAGCAAAAATGGGGATCGCACAGAGAGCTAATGGTGTTGGAGAGGCACCTGTAAATGAGGGAGGCTCAACATTTACAGGAAAGTTTGGGGCTGTGCAAAGGCTGGTACCGACATCTACAAACACTGGAACATACAATTGAATGAGCCTTTTACCCTACATTGTCCCATGGAGCTCGGGATAAACCCATGCTCACACAGATAATGCTGCCCGCCACCAGATTCCAGAATAAAAGAATGAATGAACGGTCATTATCTCACTGCAGATAAGTTTTACTGAACAGTTTCGGTGGAAGTGCTGCTTAGAAAATATTGTTTCTTCACTGTTTAATATTGCAACCAGTTAACGTATTTAGACCCTTGTCCAGCTTCATTTAGAGTCAGAGGCAGAATTTCATTGCAATTTGGCCTCTTTATTCTAGATACGTTTTAGTTGGCTCAGCCATTTTGGTCATTGTGAGATCCAAGATAGAGGAGTTGATTGGAGTCATCCTCTCCCACAATGTATAAGTAAGTAAAGACTTTTTTCTGATCTGACCACAACCACATCAACCATGTTCTGCACTAAAAACCCCTATCTTTGTTAAAGGCGCCTTTCTACCCTCACACCATTAAAAAGCTGCATCATGAAGCTTAGATTTGCAAGGATACCTGATGATTTCTTTCTCTTCTTCATTCACTCATCCTGCCAAGTGCTATCCTCCTCCAGCCATCAGTACGGGGTGCCTGGCCAGCGGTGGAGATGAAGATTTCTATACATATGGCTCCTCTGTCACCTACAGCCAGACCCCAATCCTCAGCTTCTTGTAAGTAAAGCCTCCATTTCTTGCAGTAACAGTGAAAAATAAAAAACAGGTATGCCTCTGAGCCCAAGTCTCCTCCTACTTGTAAAAGTAACATGCAGCTCATGGGGGAGGGGGGAGGCTCAGCTGGGTACATCTGACCCTGACAGTGGCTCAGGTTGTGATCTCGGGGTCATGAGATCGAGCCCCCTCTCCTCCACATCAACCTCATGGAGCCTCTCATATCATCAGCCTCCCGGAGCATGGAGCCTGTGCTGGAGGTTCTCTCTCTGCCCTCCCACTGAAAGCTCATGCATTTCTCTCTCTCAAATAATTTAAAAAACTTAAAAAAGCTAAGTCACAATGATGCATTGTGATTTGGAAGGTGAATTTGGTTGAAGGTACTTGTTGGGGAATGAATGATGACAAGACTAATTATTGCCATGATGTATGCATGTATCTTCAACTGGTACTTTCATGCATGATGTACCATTGTGTAGTGATGCAAACAGCACCAATATCTCATTGGCTTTGCAAAGTAAAGGCTTTCATTCACACCAGTCTGTTGAGTGTCCAGGAGACTCAGGGGCAGCGCTGGAG